ATTCTGGTGATCCCCCCTGCTTTGATGAATATTATGTCTAGATCTTATAAAATTTACCTATTTTTCCGCTTTGAAATTCCACCTATCGACACTCCCTATGAGTGTACATTATTTAATTTAATTTTCAAAACTACATACACATCGAATGTGCGGTGACATACTTCACATTTATTACCATCCAAATAAGGTAGGAAAAAAAAAAAAGATATATAGCAATAAATACCCAAGAGAAAGTTAAAGCAACGAAAACCTCCCATGACAAAAATAACATATATATATATATATACATACGTATAAAGTTCCACTATATTGTTTTCATCCCAAGGCAAAATCATCTTAAAACTATATCACTATTTATTTTCAAAATAATAATAATAAAAAATTATAATAATGTACAGTAAATAATACTGATATACTCGTTTAATAGTTAAAATTTTAATATTTTATTCAAAAGTTACGAATTCAAAATTACAAATTCGAAATTTAATAAAAAAGTAAAATTCAATAATTAATTTGTGTATGTAGTATAAAAATTATTTTGTACGACATCTCTGCATCAGCAAAACCCAACCGGATGCTCATATAAGGTGTCTATATATGTGTGTATGTGTGTGTGTGTATATATATATATGAACAGCTGGGAGCGGCAAGCATATCCATTTTGCTCATAATCCAAACAGAGGGAATCTGGTGGTCGGCATCAGAAATTCCATTTGAGCTTTCAAAGAATCTGTTTTATATTTGTCTGTTTGTAGTCTTCTGGTGTTCTGGCATGGGAATTCACAAGCGAACAAGAAATGTATCACAAGTTTTTTATAAAGGCAAGATGATAATGAAGGCGAGAACGATGAAGCTGTAAAGATTATACAATAAACCAGTCATGGCTTCTCCGGATTCTGAACTTTGAAATCCCACAGACATAGAAGAAGAAGAAGAAGAAGAAGAAGAAGGAGAAGAAGAAGAAGAATATGGAGAAGTTGGAAGCTAATGGACTCCATGATCCCTCAGATAATCTAAAGAAGATTGATTCAGCTGGTACCCTTTTCTTCTCTCAGCTTCTTTTGCATGCCAGTATGCTCTGTGTGTGTATATATATGCGTATATGTATATATACAGATAAAGGTTAAGGATCTGGTAATTAACTTGGTGATTAGTAGTGATAATCAAACAAGCTTCAGAATGATTTCCATACAATGAAGAAATGTACTTAACGACCTTTTACTTTGTTTGCTGAGGTATTTGCTTAATGATTTTGAGAAGGTAGAAAATCTCTTCTGTCATTACGAAAAGATCTATACTTACATAATACAAACATGCCTACATTTTATTATTTACATACAAAATTCATATTTTTTATTATAATATTTTTCATGTGTTGATAAATTTAGATGTTAATTTTATTACCATAAATATTTTATTTTTGATGGTAAATTTAAGTTTTATTTCTTAGTTTTTAGATGAATCATATCTTAATATCACTCTAATTAAATTTTTTAAACAATTAAAAAAAAAGGACATTGAATAAGATTATGTTTTGTTTAATACATCTAATTTATGTTTTTTTTTAATTAAAGAAGAAAGAATGAAGGTTATTTTTATCATTCCTAATATATATATAGGTGTGTGTGTGTGGATTTTCATTAATATATGAATAAAACCTTTACATTTAAAGTAACATACATTAATCATTTTAGCACAACGTTTAAAAATATATAAGAAACTAATGAAAGTAGAAAACCATGGTCATGTTCTTGAAGTCTTACTGATTTTGTGCAGAGGAAGCAAATGATTCTCCAATTGAAGAAGTGAGATTGACAGTTCCAATCACAGATGATCCAACAATTCAATGCTGACATTTCGGACATGGGTTCTCGGAATCATTTCTTGCAGTTTATTAGCATTTGTGAACCAATTCTTCGGTTATCGACAAAATCTTCTGTATGTATCATCTGTTTCAGCTCAGATTCTGGTTCTTCCAGCAGGAAAACTAATGGCAGCATCTTTACCGAATAAACTCATTCGGATTCCGGGAACCAAGTGGTCGTTTTCGCTAAATTCGGGTCCTTTCAACTTGAAAGAACATGCTCTTATCACCATATTTGCCAATGCTGGTTCAAGCAGTGTTTATGCTGTGAACATAATTACTATTGTCAAGGCATTCTATCATGGGGCAATCCATCCTTTAGTAGCATTGTTGCTGACACATACAACTCAGGTGATGATCACACCACATCTCGCTGAATCTTATGCTATGACGTATATAGAAAAAAAAGGATATATACATACATCTTGCCGAATCTTTAATATGGAATAACCAGATGCTTGGCTATGGATGGGCTGGGATTTTTAGAAAGTTTTTAGTTGAATCACCCTACATGTGGTGGCCTTCTAATCTAGTTCAAGTCTCCCTAGTCAGGTATAAATCCTCCCGACGCAGGAAACAAATTTTTCAAACCTAAACTATTGATCCTCAAAAGTTATAATCCGTTGTCAGTTATACTTTTCAAGGCTTATCTATTGTGTTTTCGAACATGTAGGGCACTCCATGAGAAGGAAGAACGGCCTAAAGGAGGTCTAACAAGGCTGCAATTCTTTATTCTAGTACTGATAAGTAGTTTCTCATACTATATTGTCCCAAACTATTTGTTTCCATCCATAAGTGCCTTGTCCTTTGCCTGTTGGATATGGCAAGACTCTGTGACAGCCCAAATAATTGGTTCTGGCACTCATGGTCTCGGAATTGGCTCGTTTGCACTTGACTGGTCGACAGTGGCTGGCTTCTTAGGTTCTCCTTTAGCCACCCCTGCATTTGCCATCGTAAACGTACTAGCTGGATTTGTCATAGTAGTCTACATATTACTCCCCATAGCTTATTGGACCAATTCATACAATGCCAGGAGGTTTCCCATTCTTTCAGCACATGTCTTTGACGCTAATGGCCAACCATACAATGTTTCTCGAGTCCTGAATAGGGAAACCTTCGTGTTCAATCAACAAGGCTATGATAACTACAGCAAAATCAATCTCAGTATCTTTTTCGTGTACGTTTATGGTCTAAGTTTCGCTGTCTTGGCTGCTACAGTGTCACATGTTGTACTCTTCCATGGGAGGTATATTCATGTCCCTATAATTCTTCATCTTAAACAATAATGATCGTGTATGTACTGGTTAATCCTAATTGTTATATATCTATTTGCAGATCGATTTGGCAGCAGACAAAAGCAGCCATGAGCAATAAATTTGATGACGTTCATGCCAGGTTGATGAAGAAAAACTATGAAGCTGTTCCTCAATGGTGGTTCCTTACAATCTTGATACTAGTGACAGGACTTGCCATTCTTGCCTGTGAAGGCTTTGGCAAGCAACTTCAACTCCCTTACTGGGGAGTCCTACTAGCAATAGGCTTAGCCTTCTTTTTCACTCTCCCAGTTGGTGTTATTGCAGCTACGACGAACGCGGTATATAGCTTCAAAGTCTTTTGCTTTTTTTTTTTTTTTTCTTCTTTTTTTCGTTCATTACAAGACTCGTTGCATAATAAAAAATAATGAGTATTTATGTTGTCCGTGTATATGTGTATCTTTGTGCAGACACCCGGATTAAATGTCATCACTGAACTAATTATCGGTTACATGTATCCCGGGAAGCCTTATGCGAATGTTGCTTTTAAGACCTATGGCTATGTAAGCATGTCACAGGCATTGATGTTTCTGTCAGACTTCAAGCTTGGACATTACATGAAAATTCCTCCAAAATCAATGTTTCTTGTTCAGGTAACCTCTTCGGTTGAATCATTGTAGCCTTTTGTTTCTTGACAAACAAGAAATTGCATCGAAAAAGAAGGCTACTATCGATTCTAATTAATGAATTAATTGAAATGAAGTTAGTAGGAACGGTGATTGCATCTTCAGTCTACTTTGGCACATCATGGTGGCTTCTCACAACAATCGAATACATCTGTGATCCGGATAAATTACCGCCTGGAAGTGCATGGACATGTCCGGGAGATGATGTTTTCTACAACGCCTCGATCATCTGGGGTGTGGTTGGACCGAAACGAATGTTTGGTCCTCTTGGATTGTACTCAAAGATGAACTACTTTTTCCTAATTGGTATTCTGGCACCAGTTCCTATCTGGGTGCTTTTGCGCATATTTCCCAAGCAAAAATGGCTAAGACTCGTTAACATGCCAGTCATTTTAGGAGGTGCACTGGCCTTGCCAGCAGCCAGAACTGTGAATTACATCTGCTGGGGGACTGTGGGACTTCTATTCAACTTATTTGTGTATAGGAGATATAAAGCATGGTGGGCTAGACATAATTACATTCTATCAGCTGGGTTGGATGCTGGGGTTGCTTTCATGGCTATTCTCTGCTATTTCACTCTTCAAATTAAGAACATCAATGGACCTGGCTGGTGGGGTTTGGATTTGGATCATTGCCCTCTTGCACGTTGCCCCACAGCTCCTGGTATAGCGGTTGATGGGTGTCCTGTTTTTCATTAACACGATCACATAATAACCATATCTATAATCAAGTCTCCGGCGAGGGGGACAGCTATACATTGAGCAAATTAAAAACTTCAGGGTTCAAGTTTATATATATATATATATATAGATAGCTAAATTTACTTCTCAATATATAAGTTTCATTGTCGTTCAATGTGTAAGTTCTATAATGTATTAGTCTTTGGCTAGGCTGAAGATGATCATACAATACTTCAATCACTAATAGCTTTCTATACAGACAATTGAACATATGTAAATTTCGTAATTACAAAACAATGGGGCTTTAATTTAGCCGGGAATCCTCTACTTACAGAAGCATATACACATGCAAACATATATAACTAAACAGGCAGCAGGATTATACATAAGAATTTATATGGGTTAAGCTGAAAGTAGAAGAAGCAGATAGAGCAAAGGCTGAACGAAGAGGGTAGACTTGGAGGAAGAAGAAGAAGAAGCAGCAGCAGCAACCCATGAAGTAGCCGAGGCGCCATTGTCATCACCACCACCTTTAGCAGCGCCGCCACGACCACCACCCCTGATTATTGCACGTTTTAAATTAGATTAATACATTATATTCTTGGAAGTTGTTTGTAGAAGAGACCAAGGAGTTACGCCACGTGATTGTGTATCCATATTGTTGTGTATAATATTTTTACCTGATAAATAATTGTGTGTGTATATATATATATTATATATATATATTTGGTAATAGTACTTATATCAACAATATTATTTTAAATTATACTAACATTTAATACACCTATGAGAAATTCTACCTTTCATATTTAAATTCATGATTTTTAAGAAAATAATAAAGATTTTAATAACTAAAGTTCCGTATATTAGGTAATAAAAGTTAATTTCTTATCAAATATTAAATATGTAAAGCACAATAATCACATGCATAAACATACTATTTAATAATATGCATAATATATATTACTATTACAGCGCATATACATACATATATATGGCTTTTCCTAAAACTAACTTAAAGTGACTGCCGCTGCTGACCATGGCTAAGCATGTACTTGCCCTTTTAAAAGTAAAAATTTCCATTTTGCGGGCCTATATCATATATCTATATATAGACGTATTCTCAGCCAGCAGTACATAGAAACATGATGTTGTCTGGCACGTGGGCTCTTCTCTAAAAAATTTCCAAGAATTCAGTTTAAGAAGATGAAGATGAAGATGAAGATGAAGATGAAGATGAAGATGAAGATGAAGATATCAGGGAGTTCATTGAGCATCCTTCTACTCCTTTTGGTTGCAGCGATTACATTGTTGGCAACAACGGCAGCTGCCGGAGGTGGCGGTCGTGGTGGCGGCGGCGGTGGCGGTGGCGGTCGTAGAGGTGGTAGATACGGCGGCTTCTCCGGTATATATAGGGGAGTGCATCAACCCTCTCGGTCCTCATCAACTTCATGGGGTGCTGCTGCTTCTTCCAAGTTTATCTTCCTCGTTGAGCTTTTGCTCTCTCTGCAACTTCTCCTTTTCCTTTTAGCTTAACCCATTTACATTCTTCTGCGCTCTACTATTTCCACTGCTGCTTAAAGGGTTTATATATCATCTATGTGTTTGTGGATGTAGAGGAGTATTCTCAGCTTTATATCTATATATTTCTATCTATTTGTATATATGCATGCGCGAACGTTTTTGTGCTTGAAAAGTAATGATTGAGCACTATATTTCTGGTCGAGAAGCCTGAGATTAAAAGGCATACGAAGTTTTCAATAAATTCCTCTTCCTCTTGTGTTTGCTGGGCTACCATGAACAATTATGATAGACATGTTACTCTAACCCAAGTATGCATCGAACGTGCCAATTATAAGTAACTTTTGCATATCAAATAACCTAAAGTTATGAATTGAAACAAGATAGACTGGGTTTTAACGAATGCAACCAACAAAATATAAATACCAAAGTGTGTTAAACACATTGATTCTGGTCTAAATGCTACGATATGCAGAATACATCATGTATATCAATGCAAATGAGAGGACGAGTGGCGCACTACACAAGGTGAGTTCACCATGAGGTGCCAAACCCCACTTGGTTAGTGGCATGCTCCATAGACAATTGGTGCATGCCATACACCAAGCGTGCCTACCAGTATCCTCCTTTGTTTGGCGCATATCACAGGCTTGTGGCATGCACCAAACATGTAGGGGTTTCACGCCTCTGATCCTAAGAGGTGTGCCTCAAACCCATGTAGTAGATCCCTTAGTTTTAGGTATTTTGGTCATTGAATCTAGCTCAGCCTTCTTAAATTCTTGCCTCCAATAGGTAATACAGTTAAATGCTTAGTGTATGAAGGCATTTAATATAGTGGGTGCAAAAGATTTTACCAATCCAAATTTCATGTGAACTCATCAAGCTGGTCCCCAGTTTCACCCTCTTAGTCTATATTAAAATAAATAAATTAATAAAGACTATCTGAATGATACCTGACAAATATCAAGATTATGGACCTCCTGTAGTGATGTAGGGAAATCGTGTAACGAATGCAGGGTCTTCAATTTCTCAAGCATCTTTTCCTCGTTCCAGCAGACTTAAATTAAAGTTCTAGTTCAATACCCACGTATGGAATCAGAAACCAACAAGCAGAAACAAGTTGAAGTCTAAAACAGGTTGCTTTCCTTGAACCAACATTCTTTTTGAAGGTTAGGAAATTTCTGGTTCAAAAAGGATGTAGCCCTCTTGTTGTCTTTTCTACTCTGATAAAGTTTGTTGCTTGCTTTTTGGTTGTGAAGCTAAGCCAACTACACTTTTTGAAAACTGTCTAGTAATAGATCTCATGTACTACCTTAATTTTATATGTAAAAATATATAATTGTTATCCATTATATAAAAATTCAAGTCATTTACTATTAATAACTTCAGCTTACATTTTTTTTAAAACAAATGGATTAAACTCGAAAAGTATGCATTGATCTCTAAACTTCTCATACCAAATTTCAACCATTTCAATAATTTAACCAAGTAATGTGATACAGCTTAAGCTGTAATATGATGCAAGCAGGACTGACCAGAAACTAGAAAATACAGAAAGCAGGAGAGAGGGGAGAGGAAGAAGACAATAGGGGTAAGGGATCTTTAAATTTCTCCAAAAAGATTCCTGAGTATGTGCTTGCATGCTTGAACCAGTCATTATAATTAAGACCGTTCTTAGTCCTATTAACTACTGTAACTAGGTTCTATTATTCTATAGAATTTAATCAGGTTTCGAATACCCTGTTACAAAAATTACTTCTATAGTATGTGTGTTTCAAATACAAATTTACCAGTAGCTTTGCGGAACAGGCATGAAACAATGACTCAACAGTCGACAGAGAAGACCTGATCATTCGCCCAATAGTTTAAGAATGTCAGACATCTTGCTTGTATAATAATCAGGTATGATGGTGTTGGAGGGCCTTTGAAGAATTGATTCAGTTGTCACACCTGTAATTTTTGAAGTTTTAAAATATAGGCAAAGTTACAAACGGCTTGCTAGTCATTTTAGCTCGCACTGGAAAGATATATAGAAATCCTTGTACCTGAAAGAACCAGTAAAGTTTTGCAGCCAGCAATCTGTCCAAATAATATGTCAGTGTCTAATCGGTCACCCACCATACACATTTTGGAGGTTTCAATGTTAAATCTGAAAAAAGAAAAAGAGATAGAGTGAGCATAACGTATAGTGACGTACATATTTCTCTAGTGCCAAATCATACTTTGACTA